TTTATGGAGTTGGTACCCTGGGGAAGGCAGACCCAAGGGTTGGAGCCCAGAACAAGACTCACCCAGGAGCTTGCCATTGAGTGGCAGCTACAGTAATTAGATAATTCCCTGGATTGCTGCTCCATGACACTTGTGATCCGAATGAGGAAGGGGAGGGCCAAGCCGCCTTGTTTGCCACATCCGGGGCAGCCGGGCCTCCCAAGTCAGGAAGCATCTCTGAGACCAAGACGCTTGCCTGACGCTCTTTGTCAGAGACTGAAGCTGGAGAGACGGGGGGAATGTTAGGGACAGGAAGGCGGCCAGGGAGCCTGGAACTTATAAAACAAGAAGAGGCAGGGCCAGGACAGTGCTGGTGGCCAGATGGCAACGGGACCTTGAGGGCCTGTGGGTCATAGGTAAGGTCTTTATCCCAAGAGCACTGGGTGACCAGACAGGTGACTGGGACCCTGGACATCATGGCTGGCAACTCCCAGATAGAACTGAATCATCAGACTGCCTTCTGCAGAAGATGGGTGCAGATACAACCCATCCATGTAGCCTCAGTGCTTTGTGGCCTCAGCCCACCCTGCACAATTCATGACGCCACGCTGACCAGGAAGCTCACACTTCCTTGGGCAGGCTCCGTGCCTGCTGGAGTGTCTGTGTCCCTTGCAGCATGGTGGAGCCCTGAGGAGGGCCACACCTATGTCCCTGCGCTTTTCAGCTTGTGCCACCGTCATCACCCGAGCTCAGTGGGTGGCTCTGTGTGTCCCCACCCTGCAGTGCCTCCACGCATCACGCTGCCACCCAGCCTGCCAGGGCCCGTGCTGCTTGGCGCCCCCGTTCGGCTGACCTGCAATGCCACTGGAGCCCCCAGTCCCACTCTGATTTGGCTGAAGGATGGCAATCCCGTGTCTACTGCAGAGACTTCCGGCCTCCAGGTCAGTAGGGTTAGAGGTTGTGCTTCACCCACCCGATACCTCTGTCGGTGCTGGAAGCAACACAGTCAGGCCACAGGAGCTTAAAGGTGAGGGACAGGCAGCTACTGTCCAGAGGTGTTGGCTGGAGGGGCTGCTGAAGGGCCAAGACATGGCGAGCTGCGCCGTCCAACAGAGCAAAGCAGGCCACAAGTTTGTGTAATTTAAAGTCTTCCGGTAGCCTCAGCAGAATGGCCTGCTGAGATTACAGCCAAGGAAACCCCATTGGGCAGTGCTAATCTGTCTCCATGAGTCAGAATAGACTCAATAGTACCATATCATGATGCCAGGGTGGTGCACAGGGTTCAGCAGTGGACTTTGCACCCAAAGGCTGGCAGTTTGGATGCAGACAGTGGCTCTGTGCATCCCCAAAGATGACACTCACCTTCAAACAAGCACCCCCGAAATGAGGTGTCAGCACACACGGAGAGCATTACAGCTTGTGTGATTTAAGGATTGTAAATAATGAAATCCAAGATCAGAGGAGGAAACCGTATTAGAGCTTAAATTCTGAGCACTTGGTTTGCAGAAGGCTATGGATGACAGTGAAAACCCCAAATTTCTCTGCAGTGGATTAAACCTCTGGTGAATCCCCTCTGACTATTAACCACGGGATGTGAATCGCCTTGCTATCAGACAGAGGGCGTTGGAAAGTGGACTAATGC